TCTTTAGGACTCTCGCCTTGTTTCCCGGACGCACGACCTAGACACGGTCCTGCCCGCCCCGACACGCTCGCTCGTCAACATCGACCAACACCCCCGATCGACCGAATCAACGTATTCAATCGACCGACAACTATCTAATCGAACGGGAGGAATATCAACCAGTAAAGAAAAGAAATCGAGGACGTCGCCGAGAATTTCGAGTTGGAAAAATCACATCTGGTGGCCGATTGAATCCGCACGAGCCATTTAGCCCCTGACCTGTTCATCGACCCTCGAACCCGCAAGACACGACACACGAACCTGTCACCGTCTTCGAGTCCTGGATCAGATTCGAGACCGCCCTTCATTTAACCAGCTCTTTTTTCTTTCTTTCCTTTCCTCACTCTCGCTATACCCCATCAAATCGTCATTATGAAGTTTTCATCAGCCTTCCTGGCCGCCGTCTCCGTCGGCGTCGCCACCGCCCAGTCATCAACCGCCAGCTCGGCCCTCCAGAGACCAAGTGAGAACCCAACAGTAAACGCCGTCACCTCTCACGGCTGCTACAACGCCAACGGCACATCATGGAAGATTTACCCCGTCGACGTCACCAAGCTCAGTGTAGGAAAGTGCACGGATGAGTGCAAAACGAACCAGAAGAAGAACGTCGCCGCTCTGAACGGAGAGGACTGCTACTGCGGCGACGACTACCCGCCCAAGATCAACGTCGTCAAGGACGAAAAGTGCAACTTTGGATGTCCAGCATACCCGCTGGAAGCTTGTACGTATTTCCATTCGAAGCCGCTCTCACAATTGAAGATCAAGAAGTAAGCTGACACAAGCATCAGGCGGTGGTGTCGAGGACGGCTTGTTCTACTCCGTCTACAACACCGGTATCAAGATCGTCGTCGCCGACGAGGAGCCCGCCACCACATCCGCCTCCTCCACCGCGAAGGCCACCACAACAAACGCCGGCGGTGCCGTCGAGACCATCATCGAGACCCCGACGCCGCCGCCCGCCGAGACCACCGCCTCCGACGACAGCAAGAAGAGCGGCACCAACGTCGCCGGCATCGCTGCGGGCGTTGTCGTCGGTGTTGTCGCCATCGCCGCCATCGTTGGCGGCATCTTCTTCTACGTCCGCCGCAAGCGCAACGCCGAGATCGAGGAGGAGCACCGCCGCAACGCCGCCGTGAACGCCTTCATCGGTGGCTCCAAGCCCCCGAGCAGCAGCGGCATGTCCATGACCGACTCGCGCATGGATCCCACGCTCGCCCACCGCCGCATGAGCGACGGCAGCATCGCCGACAACCAAGATTACTCGCGGAAGATTCTCCGAGTAAGTTTTTACCCGTTTGACGCTGAAGAATGTGAGATCCGGAGAGCAAAGAAAACTAACATGACGTCTGTAGGTTACCAACGCATGAGCACCTCACTTCGTGACGACGAACGACCTAGCCACTGGCTTACTAAATTACTTTAACATTCTGGCATCCGTGGCGTTTAGAGGTGTTCCTATTTCTCCGACGCTGGCTTACTCGGGGAACAAATCTTCCGATAAAAAGAACGACCAGTGTCGTCGGAAATTTCATATGTATCATGGTGTAGGGAACATATCTCGGATTTACGATATGGGTTTGCGTTGGATCATCTTCATCGTTTGGACACATAAAAACCGCCGTCGGCACGAAACACCCTACGCCGTCCACTCCTTTTGCGATCACCTTTAGACATTTCTCTCTCGGATAACAACACACCTACAAATCAAGGGAGGGAGAAGACATGGGGAAACACAAAAACGTCTCGGGATGGTTTTGCCCTTTCTCTCCCTCCCCGGATCAAACCTTCGCCAATCAACCCCCTCAATCAATCACCCACACACAACATCATCAACATCTTAACGCACAAACGTCCTGGCCCGCCAATCGCCCCCGCTGGGCACTTTTCGCTTCTTACGATTCCCTCTCTCCGGGGGAGGTATTGGCGCCGGCCGAGATATTTTACAATCTTCTTGCTTTTTAAAAAATATCGGCGGCGGTTGGGGATATCCCTTTTTTTTTTTATAACGACATTTGATGGAAAGAGTTGCGACGGAGTATTGGTGGCGCCCTTACCCCCATCTTGTGTGTATAGTACAACGGCTCCCTCATATTATGGACGTCCCCGGCGGTTCTTTTAACAATGAAACGGTTTACATATACGGTGGTCTTGTTTTTCACATGTTGCCTGACAGTTTTCCTCATTGGTCAAGAGCCGCCACGCGACGAAGGGACAAAAGAGGGAGCCGGATTTTTTTGGGCAGTGTTGGGCTAAATAAAAACCCTCTTCTTGGTTAAACGGGCTCTTTTCTTTCTCGATGGAAAAGAGAACATGGGGTTCCAAGGGGTTTGGGGGTTTTTCTCGTGGTGCTGGAAATCTTTCTGATAGCGTGGTCGATTGTACTTAAAGGAAATGGACCGTAGTAATCGAGCATTCAAATGACCTCATATCTCACTACACACTTGGCTTTTGGCGAACAACTTCTGACAGCTCTGCGCGTGGGCTCTCAACTCACGGATTCGCATTGACGTGATGATCTTGACAGTGAACAACGGCCGTGAACTGGTGGTTTCCTGGGGAAGCCCACCCACCGACAGCCGTTGGGTGGTGGTGGTGTCTAAACCTCCGAGCGCCGGGTGCCTCCGAGCACCGAGCCAAACAGGCACCGAGCTCAGCTCTCTCACTATATCACCGGGGAGGACTGCCTCGAGAACTTCAAAGTCACCTGACCAGACGACGAACGGGCTGAGCCTTTTTCTCTCGCGTGTCTTCCAAGGTTGCCCGAGTCAAAATTTCTCCGCTGGTGTTCGCCAGCCCCCAAGCGGCGAGAGAAACTGCGCCGCCTGCCCACCGACTGGGCCACTGAAGGGGCGGACCACGGGGACCCAGATCTGGGAGTGAATTAACCTTGGTAATTAACGCTGTCTGCTGCCCACGGCCCTGCCCCGTTGTGTGTGTGCCTCTCTGTTCTCTGCCCGGTTTTTGGGTTGCTTTGGAAGAAAGGCCTCCCGGCACGTGGAGACAAGACAGAGTCAAGAGGAGGAGGGAGCGGGTGATTGGGCGTGGGAGACAGGCAGAGGGCCAGCGTTTGTTAGGCGCAAGACGTGGGTGGTTCTCAGCTGGTGGGTGCGCTGGGGAAGTTATTATGGGGTGGGTTGTGTCATGTTAAGGACCCCTGACGATCGTTTTTCGGCGGTTTTTTTTTTTTCTTTCTTTCTGTGTGGTTGCTGCGCAGGCCGCGCTAAGAGGGAAGACGGATGTGTGTGGGTGTCAGTGTGTGTGTGGTGGTCGGCTGACCAACCGGTCGGCGCTTGGGCTGGTCTTCATTGGTGTCGGCGATGCTCATGGCGATACGGAGCACGATGGAGATCTTCTTTCTTTCAGTTGACGAGTGGTTTTTTAGAGGGGGTTGGTTTTGAGTGCGATGTGTTGGATCCTTACTTGTTGCGTTGTTAGGTGTGCTGTGTTATGAATGGGGGGGTCCTTCTTTGTGACTTGGCATATGGAGGGGCGGACCCTGATCCTCTGGCTTGATTTATCCCACTTGGGCCCCCCGTCCGCCCCCGACGCCCCCGTTTGCCGGCTTGGCCTGACGACATTTGACGGCAACCCGGACACACGTGAGTTTGGTACAGGTCATTGGAGGTTATATTTGACCTACGGCGGTATATGATGAGCTTGGAGGCCCTTTGGGGGCTGGGAGATGTTTCATCAAGGGAGCCCCCGAGGGAATAATATTTACCGTGATTTACTGGTGCCCACGGGAGCCCTACCGTAATTCGGGTTCGGGGATTGGGCTGTGGAGTTTCTGTGGGCATTTTGATGTTTGCTGCCTTATGGAAGTTTGGGTCCTATTCTCCGGTATGATTACAGTTGGCTGGGTCTTGGTTTCGTGGCCTGATAACAGCAAGACAAATGGGAGAAGCCTTTGGGTTGATGGTCCTGGCGGGTGTGTCTGGCAGCGCCGAGACGGTAGTTGGGCTTGGGACGATGTATGAGGATCTTGAAGTTCGGGTTTGAGGGTGTTGTATTTTGACGAGCAGGATGACGTCGGAATCGCTGGGGGATGAAACGAGGATCGGCTGTTGGATTTCTCTGGGTGCGGCGGGGACTCTAGAGATGAAGGCACGAGGTCTACGCAGTAAGAAGAGACTGACCATTACCGAAGCTATCTTCAGCTAGTGATGCGAGATGCTCAACTCACGCCATTATGGGACTTCTTCATCTTGAGTCCCTTGGATCGTCTCGGCTTCCGCTCGTCATCTGGTTCTGGTAACGCGGCTCGTCTCTTTCGTGATGGAATGCCCCCCCGGCTCTGAGAATCGACCCCGCCTTTCCTCCTATGATCGGAAGCCTTTTTGACCTCCCCTACACCACTGGACCATGTTAACAGCGAAATAGTGATCTCAAGGCCATTCGCCGCCGCCTCTACCTTTGAATTATTGTAACCCTTCTCTGGCGGGCATGCGCATTCGAACCAAACGCTCGCCTTTCGCCCGTACAAAGAACTCGACTTCTTAGCTTTATATTCGTTCAACAACTCTGTCAGGTTCACCTTTTCAGGTCTCAAGATGTCTTCCTCCCTAGGGCCTCCGACTGGCCTCCAATGACTCTTCGCCGGTTTTGCATGGAAAAATCTCAGGTCCATCTCTTCGTTGACCAACTTGATGATTACCAACGCTAGCTGTATTGGTTTCAAAGCCACTTGGTCTATATAAACCAGGCCACAAAAGTCGTCGGAGAGGGCGTCGCCGCAGAAGCTGTCGGTGAAGCTGTTCCATGCAGAGCTGGGATATGCGACCAAAGATGATGACGCGGTTCCTCTCCAAATCTTAATCGGCTTTGACGCGAAACATTCAAGAGCCTCGCTGTCCACTGGATCTACCACCCTGCGACAATAGGCATCCCCTAAAGTTTGTCGAAAGAATTTCAGGTCTTTTCTTCGATAACAACTTTCTGATGATATGCGCACAAATCCCTCTTTAGTGCTCAGAAGGGATATGAATATCTCGTGAGGTATGTCACAAGTAAAACACTCAAGACATAGCGGCACCAAGACGTGATTGCTTTGGGGATTTGAATACATAGGAAGTTCCAATCTTACCCCTTTGTTCTCGAGTCTTATACCAGGCCTCGGGGCGAACGCCACGCGACTGATTTGGCCAGAAGATACGAATTGTTGAGGTGACGTTGCGAAAAGTCCCCTGAAGCTTTGCGTCGGCAGGGGCGGTCTGAAAGGCGCCAGCCAGGCGAATACCGACGTGTCTGTATGCAAGTTCACGATGTGTTCTTGTAGTCGTTGAAATGCTCTCTCCCCCTCGCCGTACAGCATCGGCATGTTGATATCAAAAGTGCCCAGAAGGCAATATGCGATATCTTCTGACCGGGTGGTCTCTCGATTCGCTGCCCAAGACATCTTGACTGCGACCAGAACGTCTTTGAGTCGTTTGACCATCTTCAACACGTCGATGTCTATCGTTGTGATAGTGGCCAAAATCGATGCGTTGTTCTCCTTAGTGAATCGGAAGTTCCAGCTGGCATCGTAAAACTTGACATTCGCGGGGGCAATGAGCTCCTGTAATGTCCAGCCGCGGCTGAACCATTTACATGAAGCCATGTTAGCGATAACATGAAGCTTTTGGCCAGGCGGTGTTGTCCCGATTGCCGAAGCCGACGGAGCAAGATCCTCCAACCAAATAAAACACACAGCTGAGGCTCGATACCACAGAAACATGGCATTGATTGCTTCGCTTAGCTCAGCGCTGCTGCTTTTGTCGATACAACACGTGTCGACCCAAGCATGCTTCAGGTTCTCTTTCAGAGCCAGCTCACAGGTCTTGGAGATCTTGGCGAAACCGGCTTTCTTCTTTGCCTTAGAAATATGCTTCATGTCCTTGAACGACACTTCATCGACGCCCCACGTGTGCGAGAGGATGGCGTACTCGACTGTTGAGTAGTCCTGGAACTCCTCGAGACGTAGCGTCTTGGTGTTGATGAGCCACATCCTGTCGCCAAGGACGAGGCAGGGAAGAGTGAGAATGGGAGATTGAGATTGAATGAGTAAGGGCAAAATAGCAAGAACAAATGAGGTTCGGTTTGTGGTGACTGTCGCGCAAGGTTTGAAGCCGTCAGATTTCCGAGATGAGGTTGAGCAAGGGAAAAAAAAGAAGGAAGAGGAAAAAGAAAACGATACTCACAGCCTGATTTCCAGGCGGCTACTGACACGCGCTTACCATCCTGCGGGCTGCCTCGCGGACAGCTGAGCCAGCCGTGTGCACGCCGATTTCGCCAATCATCTGCTTCTAACAAGCACCTGCTGGCAATCTTGCAGCAGTTGCTGATGTAGCCAACATATTGTGGCGTTCATACTTGGGGTATCGGTTTCCCTGTTTCCGTCAAGCAAGCGGTCACGATTGCCGCTGAGAAGTAGTTTTTGCTTTGCCTGGGCATCGTATTGAGTTCCCAAAGATGCATAGGTATTGAAGGCTCCATTTAGAGCAGCATTCATGTTGGCATTTTTTGCGTCTGTTACTCCTAGTCTACATCAGGCGCTTCCAGCTTCGCGTGGATGTCACTCTCCGCACACTCCGCGCGGTGCTTCCTCCAGTCTTTCTTCTGGCACTCTCCGCTGCAATACTTGACCTGCAAGCAGCGCGTACACTTCTTCAACTTCGTACTGCTCTCAGCCTCCGACTTGCCACAGGCTCTGCATCTCTCCACCTGCTGCTGTCCGCTGCCTCCACTCCTTCCCCAGGTCTCAAAGTCGACGCATTCATCCACGAACGGGACCGCAAAAGTGGGGCTGATGGCGATGCGCGTGGCATACTTTGACGCGGTATCCCACTCGGGAAGCGCGACGAAGTTGTCCGGCAGTTTTCCCTGACCGCACGAGCAGAGTACCTGCTTCCCCGTCTCCGTCGATACGGGCACCTTGCCCGTTTTGCGGTACTCGCACGACGACTTGTGGTTCCAGGTGCGGGTGCGCTCTGCAAGCGAGGGGAGCACCTTGCGCCAGAGGGTAAGCTCCGCGTCGTCAACGCTGATTTGGGCACATTCAAGCTCGCGAAGCATGAGAAGGAAGGGCTCGAGCTCGTGGATCATTTTCTCGGTGAAAGGGATCACAGCGGCATCGAGAACGACGGAGCCGGAGGCAGGATCGAGACGGACGGCGGAGACGAGGATGAGCATGTGAACGCCGGTGTCATCCGAGGCGTGGCTCAGGCACATCAGACCAGTCTGCCCTCCCTGTAAGCCCGAGGCGAGCATGAACATGGTGAATACGGATTCTTTGAAGTTGAGGCGAGTGGATCGGGAAATGCCATTGCCGCGGCCTGCTTGGGCTTGCTCGCGGACCTTTTTCTCGCCGACGGAGAAATGACAGGCAATCATGTTGACCATGAAGCGGTTTGCCGCCTTGTTAGTTATATCGATGATGGGAAGGCGGTCGAGGTTGAAGTGCGGGGTGTTGAAGTCCACCGGTGTGTTTGATAAGCTCTTTGCGAGGGTAGTGGGGAAGGTGAAGTCCACAAGAGGGCTGTCGACGCCTCCGCCTGTGGCAGGGGCAGCAATGGGCGCGATGACTTCGAAGTAAGATGACTTGCGGGCGATTCGGATCTTTACTTTGCCTTCGCTAGCGTCAACGGGGATGGGAAAGGTGATGGGGTAGATGTGCTGCTTCTTGTCAAAGACAACGTTAACAGTAAACGGAGTCACTTGCTCAGTCTCGATGGGAACCTTATCGGTGAGTAGCTTCTTGCCCTTGGCGGAGAGGAAATCGAGATGGCCAGTGATAGTTGCTATCTTGTCTTGCTCTGCTGTCATGTTGGCAGTAAAAACGGCTTGAGTCTCTCCCTTCGCCTCTGTGGCAGACTCCGCAACGGCACCGGCGGCCTCGCAAGTCGCGGGGTATCGGGTCTGACCAGGCAGATACTTTGTGATGAATACGCTGGATGCATCTGCCAGCTTGCTTTCGTGAACCTTCAAATCCTGGCCAAGTATTTTCTGATAGACTGCAATGTTCTGGGCAGAGCTTTGGACCTCGAGACGTACGAAAGCCGTCTTGCGCTCGACTTGAAGCGCGGAAGATGGGACGTAGAATGACGCGATGAGAGGTGAGTTACCAGCCCATCCGGCGGGATCAGGCTCAACAGTGACGGAGAATTTATTGGAAGATTCTCGGTCGCCACTGGGCTTGACGGTGCCCCAGACGAGCTGCACGTCATCAAAGAAGTTGTGCCACTTGTGGTCGGCATCTTTGCCGGATACCAAGGAACCTCTGACGGTGGGGGACGCGATCTCCGCCTGGTGCGAGCCAGTAAACATGCGTTTGATCGCATTGTTCGGGACCACAAGGGTTACGGCAACAACCTCTGGGATCGATTCCCAAGAGTCGAACCCGCCGAGGTTGCGGTTTGGCTTAATTTCTTTCTGAAGCCAAGGTTCAGAAAATAGCCCCTGGGTGTGCATCTGCAGAGAAAAGTCTTGCCGCAAGTTGCCAGTGAACATGAGGCTTCTTTCGAAAGAGTACTTCTCCAAGAATAGGTTAACTGTGCGATCAAAGTCGGAAACAGATAATCTTAGCTTGAGGTAGCGCATGAGGGACACCAAAGTCCCTCGGTGGAAGTTCGTGTAGGCTGTATTTCGAATGAGCTGAGCCATCGATGCCTTCGATATGGATAGAAGCTTCATCGGGTTTTCATGGGCAAAGATCTCGAGGTAAAGCTTGAAGAGCACGCCTGCAAGGGCCTCAGGGTCAACCTGAAGTGGCCCGGTGGTGTCAACTCCGGAAAAGAACTTGCTCTGCTTCCAGTTTATGCGAGTGTGTAGCTGAGTTTGGACGTCCTTCTTGTCTTGCAACGTGCCGGCCATGAAACTGATCAACATCTCGTCGACCCATGACACAGCCGTTGTGTTGGTCCAGTACTCGACTGCGCTGGCGCCAAGAAGCAAAGACACAGTGGGCCCGTGGCCGTAAAGAACTCTGTCGAATCCTTCCTTGCTTGTGTCCTCTCTCTTCAGCAGAGTTTCCGTGAACACAGAAGACCATGGCTGAGGGGCAAGCAAGGGAAGCGCGGACGTGAGGAGGTTGATCGTGCCGACGTGGTCTGCGAGGTTGGATGTATCGATGGCATCAAAGGAGGAGGGCGCGGCTAGCTTGCCTCCGTAAGCATCTGGATCCAGACAAAAGGGCCTTGAGTCAAACTGCCTGCGATACCAACCAGCTGAAGTTTCCTTTGTGGAAACAAAATGCTGAAGAGTCTGGCAGAAAGCAAGAGCCTCGCTCGCGACGAAGCGGATCACAAGCTTTTTCTCGCGTAGGAGTTTGCCGCAAGCAGTGCCCCATTCGCGAAACTGGGTTTTGGCTGCTGCGAATGCCATCAATGGTCCATCCTTCGGATCGGGTTTCAAGGGAGACGCGTCGGTGAGGGCTGCGAAACCGGTCGCAAGGTGAAACCCGAGGATTGGGTCGGCGCCGTGGTGCAGGACTCTGTGGTTTGATAAGGGGGCGATGAAGAGAGGATTAGGAATGTCACCGGACCAGCTGTGATTTGGTTTCGAGGTATCGAAGTAGGCATCGGTCGCGTTGGTGATGGCTTCGAAGTTTCCCGTTGAGAGAGGGGCAGCAGATCGCATGCCGGTTAAGCTTTGTCCTTCGCCGCCCATGACGACCTTTCTGATTTCTAAAGATCGTTTGATGGCAGATTTGAGGGCAGCCTCCTGTCCAGCTCGATCGTCTGCAGAGGCAGTGTCAAAGCATGTTTTCCAGATTGTGCGGACGTCATCAAAGGTAGCCTCATCGACGAAGGGGAGGACCTTGCCATAGGAGCTAGCCTTCCAAGAGTTGAATGATTCGGATGCAGCAAGTAGTTTCTCGAGCTGATTTGCGAGAAGCTGAGTATCGGCCTTGGAGATGCGTAGGTCGTAGAAGAGGTTCCAGGCTGTGTTGCCGGCGGCGGCGTTATCGAGGAGCAATGAGAAGAGCAAGACATCGCGAGCTTCGAGACGGTCAGTTGCGACAGAAAGGGACATCGGAAAAAGTCACATACCAAGAGTTGCCTCATCCCAATCGTTGCATGTCACGTCGAATTTACGACTTGCTATGAGGAGGTCAGTCGCTGATCCGTGAATGCTTGTCGCATGTGGGTATCACCGTACGCAGTCCAACCTCGTTGTACGCAGTGTGCAAGATGTTTCTCACATCTCCGCAGCCCAGAAGAAGTAAATTGGCATCAATTCCTTGGGGTAGACCTCTAGCCAAGTTGACGGCAGGAGTGTTGCCTACAGGGTAAAAGAAAGAGATTGAATTGGCGACCGTTGGGGTGAGCATCTTGGCGGCGGCAACGTATTTACGACAAAAAGCCGAAGCTTGTCACGAGTAGACAGAGCGTTCAATCAAGTACTTATTGGCTGTCAGTATAAGGTAAATATTGGTAGCTGAGGAGGGGTAACATACGGACGAGCGAAGACTTGATGAAATAGCCTTGTCCAAATTTGAAGCTGGCGACTGCTCATCGAACGAGGCAACGAGGGGTGAACGTTGCAGTGAGGGGCAGATTCCACCAACTACCTAAGGTAGGGACCTATCCAGGAGCTGGCGTCTTAAATAGGCAGGCCAGTCAAGGCTCGCGACCAGAAACAAACGAGCAAAAATCCTTGAGATAAAGAGAAGAAAAGAGTATCGTCGATCTAGCGAGTAATGCAGGCTGTCGACTCCCGTCCAAGCCGATCAAGGAGATGTGACGATCGTGTGTAGTAGCTGCTAGAGCTCCCTTCGACAGCTGCTCGCGGGGCATTTTCCTGAGGATGCCGTGAGTGGCGGCAGCTGGCAAAGGCTCATCAGCCACACGATCCAGAGCACACCGCCTGGACTGGACGTGGCAGAAAAAGCTCAATGGGTCGTCAGCCACACAGCTGCACCTGCCGGCTGCGATGCTTTTCGCGACTGTTGTCGCGTTTTTGCTCGACATTCGGCTTCATTTATTGGCAAAACAACCCACCACTGCGTCAGACCCTGCTACGAGCTCTTGCAGCATTCAATCTGAAGCCTCAAACTGTCTCAAAATACCTTAAATTTGATTTTCCACCGTCAAGGCAGACCAATACGACCTAGCGCCCGCTGCTTGCTGATCATCACCTCTGAGAAAGGTCGACGCTCGACACAAACAATCACACGAGACGTCCCGCCATGGCTCAGCCCACGCCGCGAGTCCGGCGCACGTCGCAAAATACGCAATACACGTACGTCTTCGAGACAGAACGCCTGCGAGGAGCGTGAATACTGACCTGACCCAAGCTACAACCTCTCGAGACGTATCCACGATGTCAAGACCTATCCCGTCCAGTCTCCCCAAGGAGCCACCATCTTTCTATACGGCCACGACAACGGCGTTTCCATTGTATGGAAAGGCGGCCGCCGCTTCAAGCCCGTGAAGAAGCAGCCTTCTCCACCCGAAAAGCAGAACGGAGCCACCGACGACGCTGTCATGATCATCGATTCAGACGACGACGAGCCCCCGTCCAAATCATCCAAAGCACCGGCTCCTTTCACCGACAAGCCCGAGTTCGAGGACACCGAGGAGGATACCCCATACCCGGAGATCATTCAAACGCTGGATCTTTCCCTCGGTACGGCCGCCTTACACTTGGCGGTGTTGCCTATGACGCCGTGCCCAGCCGAGGATGCGGCCTGGGAAGGAGCCGACGTCCTCAAGGAGAAGATGGTTTTCACCGTGGCCTGCGCTACCAACGAGCTCTATGTCGTTACACTCCCTCTGACGCCACCAAGTCCCGAGAGCAAGGCACGTCCTGAGCTGAGATCCAGCTTGTTGGCCGGTAAGGCTGGATCTGGTGTGTGGGGAGAGAGGGTTATTTTCCTCGGTGGACAGTACAAGCACAGCGAAGGCATCGCCATGTCATTAATCAAGCCCAAGACTGAGAAGTCCGGCATTTCACAGAAGCCACGCCTGGTCGTGGCCGCGCACACCCGCGAGGCGTCCGGCACTCTCCGTCTCTGGGACGTTCCCCTGGATGTACAGCCCGGCGAAGCCAGCGGCCGCATCAACCCCTTCCAAACCGAATATCTACCGAGTCCTCTGTCGAGCATCTCCTTCAACCCTACACATCTCACACAAATTCTGACAGTTTCTACGCCTCACGCTGTTCGCATCTATGATTACGCGCAGCCCTCCTTGCCTCCGGACGACCAGGCCGTAGGGCCTTTCCCCAGCCAAGGGTCATGGCTTCTCTCCCTTTACCACCCTTTCACTCGTCCCACTTCAACGAGGAAACCTATCCTCGATGCTGCCTGGATTTCCCATGGCAGAGCCGTTCTTGCCCTGCTTGCCGACGGCACCTGGGGAATCTGGGATGTGGACGGCGCCAGCCCGCTTGGTGGCTCCCTCCTCGGGAAGAACAGCTCTGGAATCAAGGGTGCGGCGCTGACAGCCTTCAGCGCGACTGGGCATGTCGAGGGAACGGGTCCCTTGCGCGCCACAGCTGGAGTGCCAAGGTCGAACGGCAACGGGGAGTTCGTGCCTATGACACCCCACACCCGCCGTGATGCTGCAGCTTCCTTGAGTGCTGCCGGCTCTCTGGAACGCCTCGTAGCCGTTAAGGGAGGCATTGTGGTGACGCCTCTTCCCGGCAACAGCTCAGGTTCCGCCGATGAGAGCGTCGTACTGTGGATTGGCGGTCTTGATAATGTCTCCGTCATTCCCGCGGTCAGCCGATTCTGGGACTCGCAACTGCGACGCAGCTCCGGCGGCGGCGTGAACCTATTCAGCGGTACTACGCCTACAAAGATGATCCGACTCCAAGATTTGGCCACAGGGCTGTTGGGTGAGAGATGCTGCGGCGTGGGTGCAGCAGTCGACTTTTCCAAGCTCAAGGACAACGACGGCGGTCTCCAAATTGAAGTTTTCGTGATGGGTGAGAGCCGACTGGTCATTGTCCAAGAGTGTGAAGATGCACCCGGCGCGAAGATCGGAGGTGTGGTCTCAACCCGCCGACGTCTTTTCGATAAGAAGGAGCAACCCAGCGCCATTATCGTCCACCCCCGACCGGACCAGCCCCGCAACGTCTCATTCAACCTCAGTGTCAACAAGACAAGAAGCCTGCGCGGTCAGTCCTATGGACGCGACAGCATTGCTCCCGATGACGATGCCACCCATGACTTCACGCTGCCAATCGGCAGACCGAAGTCCAGCATGGGCTTCGGCGGCTTCGCCAGTGGCTTGGAAGCTGCGGCGGACGTGCAAGGCGACGACGAAGGCCGTGACTTCGAGGAAGAGATGTTGGATATCATGGAGATTGATCAAGCTTTGACAACGATGGAAAGCGGCGGTGGACGCAAGAGGGTCTCATTCACTTGAGATCTGACCTACTGATGTTGGCTGACGAAAAGATTGAACTAGAGAAACAAATGTACGATACCCATGGGCCGCCCACACGTACGCCCAACCTCGTTGGTACGCGCCAAAGACTAATGCCACTGATGCCTCCTTTTCTTATTTCCCTCTTCCCATTTCATGCAAACGCAATGCAAACACTCGCCGAGGTCTCTTTAGACCAAGGCATCCGCACTTCAAGGTGGAGCGCAAGGAGAGATTCATCCTTGACTGCTCTGTATTATGAGCGGTACATCAAGAACCCCGTCCTCTGGGTTTACCACCGCAAGGCACAAGATCGCAAGATGAAGTGTTGTCGGAGGTAGGCCAATCATGACGGGGCGAGCCGACGTTTCCTATTTCAATGGACAGGGAATTTTTACGGGTGGGGGCATCTGGGTGGTTCGGTCTTGCGAATTGACCATTTGCTCTCCCAGCCTCCGCGTCATCCTGTCATCTGTCTCGGTTCCCGGACTCTGGTTGCCTTTGCGGCCGGGGGAAGATGGGACGGGCGGGGGATGTCAGGGTTGGGAGGTGGTGTCGTCGGTACATTTTCCCAAGTGATTGTGCGTGCAACGGTCCAGACTTGTGATGCGTGACTTGCTTGGCTTTTGTCTTACTTTCTTGCGATATATTGCCTTCCCCTTCTGTGCCTTCTGGTGATTGATTGCTCAGCATCGATGAACTTTGCGAGATACTCGGTTTGTTGCGGTACTCATGCTGCCAACCCTTTTTCCTGAAAATAGGCAAGATCTCCAAATGAAGAACCGCAAATGCGGCAAGTCGTCTACCCACAACCACCTTCATCTAGGCGCAATCTCGAAAAAGTCACATCAGATTGCCATGTCGCATCTACTCTCCGAGCTAAATGAGGCTCTTCCGCAGCGAAAACTCGGCCATTCCGGGATGTGGCCGGTTGGCAAAAGGGGGCGTGGGGGCCGGTCCAATTTGGCTCAATCAAACAAACTTTGGACCATTGTCTACTTGACGATAAGCGTATCTGGCCACCAGGCATGAGCCCTGGGCTGTGGGTTCTCAGATAGATTTCGTCAACGAGATAGACTTTTCGGGCGGGATTGATTAGTTTTGGTGGTCTTGGCAGGTCTGGATTTGTCGGTGTTGAAGTGAAGTTGTGAACGAGTCGATAGCCACGTGAAGGTAGAGAGACGCCCCGCGAGATTCCTCATGTGTTTTACGTGAAAAGAAGTTTGTATTCAACGCTTGGTGTAATGGTATCAAAAGGTCTATAGATCAACTCTGCGCAACCCAGTTGCCTCAAGAGGAAAAAAAAAGAGCAAAAAAGTCGTAATCTCGTGAAAAAGGGCCTTCGAGACCAAGAATGCAAAACGGTCGTCCCTCTTCATCCTCCACCCGCCCCGAAACCTCTTCCCGTCCTGGGCAGTGCATCTCTTTCAATGCTTCAACCCCATCTCGGCTCGTTGTCGGGAATCTGAGGCATCCCCCGCGGCTGGGGGGCCGCCGGCGCCTCGGCCCTCTTCTGGAGCTCCTCGCGGGCGCGCTTGGCCGTCGACGAGGGGCTTGGCTCCGGCTCGCAGATGTTGGTGTTGGGCTGTGGCTTGTTCTTGCAGATGAGCCCGCCGCAGCAGGGCTTCTTTGTGTCGGCGATGCTGGTGAAGCAGAGGCCTGAGAGACAAATGTTAGTGTCTTCTGAATGAGGTACTGTGAGAGTGAGGGTTGTACGAACCTCCTTTGGCGATGCACTGTCTCTTGACGAGGCCGGCGTCGACGCTGATGGCGGACGCGGCGCCGACGATGGCAATGAATGTGACGAGTGTGAACTTCATGATGAGTGTTTGTGTCTAGCTTGTGTAATGAAGGTGTTCTTTTCGGTTTGTATCGTTGTTGTTTACAAATGTTGTATCGTAGCGAATGTGTTGAAATGAAAGCTCGAAGATAAGACTCGTAAGGTTGATGATGGACAGGACTGGAGCGCATCCCACTCGGAAACGAGGGATCTCGCAAGCTATTATATGCCCCCATAATCCAACGTCGACCCTCCCCTGCGAGTCGTGCTATTACAAACAGCCGTAATATCAACCCGATCTCTTGGGACAAGCGGGGAGGCTGTGCAATCTTCGGAAGGCGGCGACGCGGTTACACACGCCCACGGCACAAACTTGCGCAAGCAGATGAGCGAAGGTGACGGGCGGCCTGTCGTGCAACGGTGTAAGATGACCCCCCCCTCTGCGGGTACGCGTACGCTGGTTTGAGCTGGGTTGTACCAGGTTTCGGCGGCGTGCCTTTCTTGCGTTTGTATGTGTGTGTGTACCTGCATGCATTACACTCTCCCACACACTGCGCTTTCTGCCGTCTCAAGGCTGGGCCGGGCGTAAGACGTAGGGCGTGCGTGATCAGTGGTTGCGGGTTCGTCGGATCGTACGGACTCAGGTCGTGACAAAGGAGAGCAAGCTCCTGTGTGGGAGGAGTCAGGACGGCTCCTTGGGGAATAACTCCCCGGGGGCAAGGAAAAGACACTCACAACCAACACCTCCGTCGCTGCTCCAACCACGATTTAGAGTTCACCACATCCCAACCAACAATTCTAGAATCCCGCTGCAAGGCGACACTTGCGGTTTCAGACCAACCCCCGCCCACCAATCGGCGACAAAGGCCCAGCGCTCAACGTTAAATATAGCAATCCTCTTTTGCTGTCCTGTGTCGTCTGGAGTTCGAAGTTGGGATGAAAAAGCCCGACACCCTCCTCCTCCCCCTCCTCCTCCTCAGTCTTCAGCCAGAAGATTCATGAATGTGCTCAGCCAACTAACGCGTCCTCTCCGTAAAAAGATCGGATGTCGCTGGCTGGGCTGGCCGTCGCATCGGAACACGGCCGATGACAGAGCAGCGCAACACCCATCACCTGCCACGGGCGTCCTACGCGTCCAGCCGAGACCGGCACCGCTTCCTCGAGGCATCGGCCAGCCCACGTTTTTCCGACTGTTGATGCTGCATGAAGGAGCTCGAGCCGCGTGATGGTAATTCTGTCGCTCACGCGACAGCCTCGTCGGCGGCGCCGAGCGCTGGTTGGAGAAACGTTCTCACTCTAGCGAAGATGCGTCGGCGACAAACTCAGTCCGCTCCATTTCTGTCCTTTCACAATGCGAAGACACTCTTCCTCAAATGCATCATAATGCTGCTGCTGCTGCTTGGCTCTTGCAATACTACCTCCTCAGAAGCCCAAGAACTGCAGAACAGTTTCAACAGCACAAACTTTTCTCAAAACCCCCCCAGCCCATCTTACGCCTTGGCAAACTCCTTCCCCGTACCCTCTCCCCTTCCCGCCCCCAAGAACCTACAACATCCAACAACCACGCTCTCCTTCGTATGATCCACGTACGCATCCCATGCCACAAAGAACATGAGACGAGACGAAAACAAGTCTGCACCGGGGGCTGCTGCTCCACACAAACTCCCAACGCCAACTGATTCGTGGAAGATGCACGAATCATCCGGATCTTGACTCAACACACTGAATCCGCGTAATCGCACACAACCCAACGCAAGCCATCGCAACGTCCGAAGCAAAAGCCTTGTCATGCATTGCTATTTAAATTGTAAAGTGGCGTCCGTGCAGATGAGTGAGAAAAGTTCGGATGGAGGACCACTTCCCTTACCTCTCCAAGTTGAGGCCGATGGCGGTGCCGGTTGTTCGGCCCCACTCGCACCGGCGTCGGCCCGGCCAGATCTCTTTCTCTGCCTCTCGTCCGCCATCTACCGAGAAGCCGCCGGACGTATCCCTTCACCCCCAAACTCTTTAGCACTTCATTATCCACTATCTCGACATCCTCCCCAGCAACAGTCACCGTTCCCCTCGCCACCAACGCTCCTCCTCCTCTTCCGGCTTCGTACCAACGAGCCAACGACTGGAATCCATGGAACCACCGCCACATCTGTTGCAGACATCTGCCATTCCAATAAGTGAAACCCACCCCCACCCACCCATCCTTTCCCCAGCCAACCGACCAACGCAAAGGGCGTGGAGGTCACGTTCGCGGCTCCAGAACACTGGATGACGATTCCTGTTCCATCCATGGAATGTGCCCGTGAGTCACGAGAAGAGAGTTTCACTCACACACATGCATATACACAAATCAAGAGTCACATTTTCGAAGATTGTTCAGCCCCAAGGACTAAGTAAGTGAAATTCAATTTCAATTCATCATATACCACTTCCAAATCATCGTTCCGAATCCCTAACCAAGTAAATGAATCTCATGATCGCTGGCTGAGGCTCGCCTCGCGCCAGAACTAGATCGAGCTCCATTTGTTCCCGAAAAGAAAATCCCCATCAATACCGAATATCCCTAAGAAAGGAAAAATGCCATTTGCTGAATCGCCAAAAGTTGAAATCCCAATGAACCCCCGTTTGCCACCCCTGAAGAAGCCGAACCCTTTTATTTTAACCCCCAATAGTTGTAGTAGTACATCCGTCCCGGCGAGCTGATATCGCGAGATTGTCGTCATTACGTTGATCCGGGGCGCGTGGTGCTGCAGACTTGAAGCCAACACACAAAGCGTAACATAACGTACAGAGGTCGCCGTGATTAGACAAAGGAGCCGTGACGTCGTTAAGATACCCCTTTTCCTAAATGGAAACCTAATACGCCAGAGACCCCAAAAAAGACCCGAGTGTTGTTATCATGAGCTGCCAAAGAAGACGTCGTCGTTGGTGAACATGTTGACGGGGTCGTCGAACTCGTCAAACTTGTTCATCATGAGCATGTTGGACTCGCGGTCGAACTGGACGAGGCCCTCCTCGCCGGAAAAGGTCTTCATCAGCATCTCGTCGTCGGGGTCCAGGCCCAGACTGGAGATGCTGGTGTTGCCGACACCGACGCCGGCGTTGCCCCGCATACCGGCGAGCAACGAGTCGTCGCTAAAGCCGGAAGTATTGGGCTCGGCGTCGAAGAACTGGTTGGGCGGGGGCGAGGATGACTGGGAGAGCTCGGGCGGGGTGTTGTACTCGCTCTTGGCTGGGGACTCTGGTTGCTGGGACAACGCAGTTGGCGCCTCCATCAGGGCCTCTGGTGAGACGTACCCCGAGTGGTGGCTGCTTGCGGCGGGTGACGGTTCAATGTCCAACTCCTTGTGGATTCTGGGGGGCGACGAGGGCATTGGCGCAGAAGACACGGTTGTGATCTGCAGAGGCATGTCCAGGCCTGGGCGCTCGATGCTGATACCGCCCATCTCGAACTGCTCGTCCATCATGTTGAAGTCGTTCTCTGGGGAGTTGACCGCAGAGCTGTCCGAGTATCCGGACTGCGACGAGGTGGAGGTGGAGGACTTGTTCTTGGTTCTGGTGCGGGCGGACTTGTTGACACGCTCGTCCATCTCAGGGCGGTGCTTGCGGGGGCGGCCGCGCTTGACGACCTTCTTGACGATGCCGTCGAAGGCTCCGATGCACATGCCGCGCTGGCGGTGGCGGGTGAGGGCGTCGTGGCGGGCGAAGCTGTTGCCGCACTCACAGGGGTAGGGCTTGATACCGGTGTGGATCTTGGCGTGGCGCTTCAGGTCGTGCTGGCGGACGAAGCACTTTTTGCAGGTAGGGCACTGGTACTGGCGATCGTTGAGATGGGTTTGGACGTGGGACTTGATGTTTTCCTTGCGGCCGAACTTCTTGCCACAGTCCTCGTACACGCAAGTCCACTTGCCGTCGCCAGGATCGGGGCCTTGGATGTAGTTTGCGATATCCTCGATGGTGACACCGGTGTCGGTCTTGGTTTCCTCGATGTTGATGCTCGCGATGCTGGCGGCGCTGGCAATGCTGGCAAGAGACTCGGTACGGCGGTGAGGAGAAGTACGGCGGGACATGTCGAACGAACAAGTGGGGGAAGAGGACGAAATCTCCATGTTGGGATGCCTCAGATCGGGCCTGTTGTCGAACGCCGCGTGGAAGTTCATGAGAGGAGTGTGAGGGGTGGATTGCGCAGAGAGATCGGAGGCGGCGAAGTCGTCAGTGATGCCGTCGTAGGTGCCTTGGATCTTCATGAACTCGTTGTTGAAGTTGTTCATGTTCATGAAGTCGGCGGTGGGCATCGACTGCTCGTACATGGCCGCCTCGGTCACCTGGGTGGGTTGCTGGGGGACGGGCATGGCAGTCTGCTCAGACTGTCTCCGCAGCTCCTCAAAGATGTTCTGCGTCCTCTGGTTCGACCTCCTCGTGGGCTTGAGCGTCTCCTCCATGGACTCGTCGTAGCCGTCGGCGAAGCGACTCGGCCTAGCGGACATTGGCTCGTGCTTGATAGCCCGATCATGAGGCGTCTCCATAGGAGTAGGAGGAAAGTAATCTGCGGCTTGTAAGTCAATATACGCAGATGGTGGTTCGAGAAACGTACTTGTTGCATTCTGAGTAGGGGGCGTCATCGGTCTTGACATCTGCTCAATGCCCATGGTCTCGAATTTGCTGACCCTCTCCATGATGCCGTTGCTGATTCTCCGCGACGACCGCCTCGTGCTGGCAGTCTCTCCCTCAGAGATCCAGCCCTGGGGAGTGTTGGGAGCGTCGCTGAAGTTCATGAAGGAGGGCGTCGAGAGGGCGCTGTCGGAGCCAAAGAGCTCAAAGTCCTTGTTGCCTCCCATGCTGGCGCCGTAGGCCTGCTGGTTCTTGGCCATCATGCCGTTCATCTGGTTGCCATATTGGTCGAACTGGATGGGGGTGGAATCGAAGCATGTGGCGTCGAAACGCTGGGCGGCCGGCGTGCCATGGGGGGACATGAGGTAGTTCTCGTGGTCGTTGGCGGCCACGAACATGTGTTGTTGGTGCTGGAGTTGTTGTTGTTGGTGAAGGTGTGCTTGCTGTCGGGGGCCCGGGCGTGCTTGTATGCGTTGCTGCTGCGCTTCTCGCAGAACATGCTGCGGTTGTTGTGCTAGTCCTGTGTTGTTAGTAATACTTACCTGCGCAAAGTCCTGCCTTGTTCCGTTAGGAGACATCACTTGTCTGCGAGTATCCAGGCTGAGGCCCCGGCGGTGGCCGAGGGCACGTTGGCGCTGGACATTGTTAGGCAAGGGCTGGATCTTCACTGCTTCGAATGCCGTCGGTGTCGAATTTTGGCGTCGGTGCCTGTGACGGGCATGAAGACTGCTGGTTGGCGGAGTGGACAGCATTGTGTCGCAAGTCGAGTCCGGATGGGATAATTGTCGTCGGTTGGTTAGGTTGTCGAGGGAACCTTTTTGGTCCGAAACTGTGTAAGTTGGATGTCAGCATCAACATCGACGAGTGTTTCTCCATCATCACCATCAATGGCAATAGAAAAGACTTACCTCACGCAGCGCAAGCACAGCTGGCCGGGCTAGGGGGAGGATTGGTTGTGCTCAGTCGGGGTCGACTTCGCGGTTAAAATCAGATAGAATCTGGTCTGTACGCCTTGTTCAGGCGAGGTAAGAAGGACGAGAACGCTGCACGCGTGCGGTCTCTACCTAGGCAAAGGTAAACTTGTCAATGGCAACAGGTGATTTGTGATGGATACACAAGAAGTGTTGGCTTCTTGGTAGACAGGCGGTGAAGGTGTTTTGGAGATGTGGTTTGATGCAGTCGCGATGGACGACGGGAGAGGGTGAGGTAGGTAGAGGATGGTCTTCCTGCAGTAGTGGATTTGGGGCGGGAGGAGGGGAGGAGATTCAAGATTCCACTTTGGAGGTGATCTGGGTGGGTAGGAATAGTAGTAGTAGTCGAAAAATAGTAAGGAAGGCAGCGGTAAGGATAGATCGATAGCAACGACTGGGTGCCAGCAAAGCGATGCAAAGACGGCTTCTGGTTGGAGGGGGCGCTGTATCTGCGGAAACCAGACCAGGCTTTTTGGTGGTGGGCGGGTATCCAAGACGTGATGGGCTTTGTTGACATGGAGGGCCGGCCGTCGCCAGGGCAACAGCACTCAAGGAGGGATGAGCGCGGCGCACCAGTTGGACCTGCCGCAGCTGCCGCAGCCTGTAGCTCCCGCCCTGCGACCAGGTGTTTTACCAATGGATCTCTTTAGAGTCCCAGTGTCCCAGTATTCCAGGGTACGTAGCTCGTCATCCCTCTAAAACACCCATGGATGCCTCTCCAACTCGCCAGAGCTGACGTCCACTTCCTTGCAATCCATCCTTTGCCGAACCAGGTTCGCCGCCTCTTGGGCCAAGGTTCTCTCTGGCTGTCAACATGTTTCTTGCTGCTAGCTCTTGTGCTAGTATTATGAGGGAAGTCGCACCATCTGGTTGGCTTCTTGAAGATGATCCTGATACCCTGGCTGAGGTATTCGATGATTGATGTATCATGCTTCTATCATGCAAAGTGCTCTCCAGTATCGTCAGATACAATAAACAACCGTCCGTAAGGTACCAATTGAAACAACACAGCCGACTTACACCGACACGTTGCCCTCCCAGTGCCGTCAGCAGAGTGGACCAAACACCACATCCCCGTCGCCCTTCAATCCTTCTCCGCAATC